AGCGAGTCCGCGATAGAGCGAGTCCGCGATAGAGCGAGTCCGCGATAAACGAACCGCAAAATAGCAAGGGACTACGGTCTACTACCCAGAAGGCAACAGTGCTTCCAGCCACTGCTTGCTGCCAAAACGGAGGGAAAGTTTTGATCTGATCCGAACCTGACTAAAAAGTTTGGTCCCTATTCATTCATAGTGACTTAGGCGCTCAGTGGATCAGAGAGCCGATCAAAACCGGACCAGAACTACTTCCAGCCTCATCGGTCAATCTGAGTGCTGCTTGCCGGCCCATGAAGCGTTGCTTGGAGGTCCAGTGTCTTCTCCAGAGCTCACCTGGATTTTTAAAATCTGGATTTCTCCGGATTATTTGGACTCAATCAGGACCATTGTGTGGTTTTGAGATGGCTCGCCGAAGGTCCGGCTCTCTCCAAAAGCATCTGGCGCTCAACGGCTGCAGAGAGCCACTCAGAACCAAACCAAGGCTGGTGAGTACCCAATTTTAAATTTTGAAGCACTGTACAGTACATATACATATGTTGTTAAAATTACGTAGGTTTAAGTGTTTAGAAGATTGTAAGAGTGTGGGAAGGGTTTATAAACCTTAATATATATATATATATAAATACTAAATTAAATATAGCATTACTAAATTGTGATTTCACTTATTACAACCCTGTGATAAGTGAGGGGCTACTGTATTTAAAGAAAAACAATTTAATGTATAACATTAAACATATGTTCAAACTCACTTCTGTTTGCCAAAAATACTTCCAGCGCAGTATTCTGCAGCAAATAGCGTCTGGAGAACACGGCTCGGATCTCTGTGAACAGCCATTTTCCATGAAGGCCTTCTGTATAGGATAAGATCTAGGAGAAGGAGAATTTAGAAGATATAGAAATATATTAATAAAACAACTGGACAGTGCACAAATAAGTTCACATTACAAAACAGAAACATGTGAAAACCATGTTTTAGAAACAAGACCAGAAAGATTCTAGTTGAGGGAAGGAAAGAAGACTACTATAAGGCAAGGTTAGTTCATTTTTCACACAGTGATGGCACGCCGGCCTGAGCAGGACGATTAATGTCTTATATTGATCAGCCTCAATGAAAAAGAGATTCCTTTAGCAAGAAAATTGGACCTATTCAGCTTGAAGAAGCGAAGGAAACGTTCAGTCTACTAAAAGATAATTTACTTTGAAGGTGCTTTGATTCATCACTGGTAGCAGTTTGAGGTTGTTTTATGGTAAACATCCGTTTTGTGTATTTCCACGGAGGTAACTGACACAGAGGTCAGACAATATCACATTACAGGCTCCACATTTAAAGATGCGTGGATGAATTGGGATTAATCTGTCCCCGTGGAGACCAAGGCGGCTGTCAGAGTGACTTGTTTAGATGCTTGTCACAGAGGCAGACCCAGATGTTTAGCCCTGCCCCTGCGATTTGTGCTTCTAATCCACCATTTAAGTTCACCGCTAACCTACTTAGCACTCCTTTGTTAACTAGGCTTCTGTTTCAGCCTCTGATTTTACTTTCAAATGCGTCTGCTGACACGTTTGAAAGTGTGTGCAGGGATATGTTAGAAAGGTAAAAAGGGCCAGCTAAGAATGGTTTATTATTCAGAAATATTTAAATGTGAGCTGGCAACCCAGGCCCAGTGTTAAGTTAAAGAGCTCATTAGATGGCAGGGACAGCACAAGAAACCAGCTGAGACCCTTAACCAAGGACAGCATCCACCTCGCCGACTCTCAGAGGAGTAAGACCTGTCTGCATCGCAGACTTGCTTCAAAGTCTCTGGAGTTCAATTAAATACGGATTAGTAGCTCGGAGAAGCTAGGGCGACGCTGCAGACACTGGTGTCCCATCTTCACCAGTCACAGGGCGTTTGTCCAAGTCCTAATATGAGAAGGGCATTTTTCATCTTCAGTGAAAATGCATTTTGTATTACAGAGTTAATGTGAAATGTAAATGGTTTGTACTTGTATAGCTCCTTTCTATCTCATCAAGACACTCAAAGCTCTTTACAACACGATCTGTGTCCTCATTTACCCATTCATACAGCAATCTACTAGATCTCTACAAAGAATAATCAGAGCTTTATCACATTCATACACTGATGGGACACACATCAGAGGCTATGAGGGGTTCAGTGTCTTGCCCAGGGACACTTCAGCATGTGACTGCTATTGGATTCGAACCCCCAACTCTTGCATCAGAGGACGACTGCTCTAACCACTCAGCCACAGCCGCCTAATGTCTTATTATTATAAAAGGTATTATTATTGGTTTAGTTTTGTGAATAAATAATTGTGATTTTTTTTAATGTTATATAGATTTTAGCAATCAATAACCATTAAATTTAAACAGTTACAAAATCACAGGAAGTTAATCACTTTGAAACGGGTCATGTGTTGGAGTCAAGGTCAGTTCCATAAAGGTTTTATACAGTTAGGGCTTCAGCATAAAGTTAGTAATTATGAAACGTAATTTCTTTTGACAAATTACAAAAATAAATGTAATTTAAAAAGTCGTTTGAATTCAGTGCAATATAAATCTTGAAAACATAAAAAAGTATGTGCACATAAATGCTTTTGTATTGTTTTAAGTTTTACAGGAAATACAACCAAGCCTGAGCTGAAATGTGTAAATTAAATTACACCGTTCAATTAGACAGAATCTGTTACTGGACCTAACGAGTGCTTTATTAGAGGACTAAAGTATAACTGAAACAATAAACAAGACAGTATTACAACAGGTTTACTAAATGTGTGTTCACTCATTTATAATGTGTGACTGCTGTCATAAACAGGACCAGAACTGAGGGATTTGTTTTAATAAATAGAAAATATTGTTTTAACGATGTCAGCTCTCTGGTCTGTGGTTGTGTCAGGAAGGGCATCAGGCGTAAAAATAATTGCCGTCTTTAGTTCGCTGTAGTGGAAGCTGCCAAAAAAAGTATAATATGCAATTGTTCATTAACTTTCACTCACATGCATTTATTTATGCCTCCTTATTGTGCTGCTGGCAATAAGTTTATGCTAGAAAATTGAGAGATATGGGGAAAAAAGTGTGCTCTAGACAAATCCATCCAAGATTTTTGTTAATTTCCAACAATATCTGCTGGTGGTCCTGCCAGAATTGGCTGGTTGTAGGAAATCAGAAGCAGCAGCTCACTGGATAGACTTGATAAGGGTGTAAAAGACTTCCTGCAATGTTCAATCAGGTCATCTGGACTTTTATTTTGTGCCGAGACGTTTCGCCCTCCATCCAGAAGGCTTCATCAGTCTAAGGAAACACCAAACAAAACTAGTTCTCCCCCAACAGACTACTCCAAAGTGGAAAAAAAAAAACCCAGTTATGTTGGTGCTAATGGTCTCTGGGGCACGTCCTCTCCTCCGGTGCCTGCCCTCTCCCCCGTCGACAGTCATGTCAAATTGGTTCAAAACACCAAAGTGCATGCTCAATAATCCAGATATAAAATCCAGCAATGTTCAGTCAAGTCATCTGGATTTTTTTTTATTTATTTATTTTTTTTTGGGGGGGGGGGGGGGGAGAAGATAAATAAACCATCCAGATGACCTGACTAAACACTGCTGGATTTTATACCTGGATTATTGAGCATGCACTTTGGTGTAAAAGACTTGATATAAAAACAAACAAAAAACAAGAGTAACAGAACAACAAACACGACCTGCAAAGTTGAAAAGTGGTGAAAACTGGTGAGTTGGAATTTAACTGGATCAGTGATTTGTATTAATTAAAACCTTCAAGCCATGTAGCTGCAGAGATTTAGCTTCTATTTGCTAGTTCGATTCTCAAGTCACATTATTTTTCCTCCTTCAACCATGCAGTGTATTCTGTGGTAAATGAACGTGTAATAAAACTTGATGCATGAACGTATGACCTTGAACAAAAGCAAGGTGAAATATTTAAGATTTATTGAGGAAAATTTTGGCCTCTATTTAGATTAAGTGATTTGCACGTTAGGAAATATACAACATAAACTCATAAATCCCTGACCATGATAAACACTGTAAGGGGAAAAAACAACTGTAATGCCACTTTAATTGGTGATATGTGATTTATCTGTGCTGCTGATTATCCATGCTGCTGATCGCATGCTGCTGTATTCCTTCATATCCATCTGCTAACCACAAACTCATGTTCAGACTGCTGTTTAATATACCTTATTATTTTACATTATTAGTGTTCAGCGTATATCTTAGATCTTTTAGTGCACCATATGGCATTTGTTTAATTTATATCTTAGATCCTTATATACTGTTTCTTTTAATACTTTATATTTTTGCCATTTTTGGGTGTGACTGGGATCCCGAGTACATAATTTCATTCCACCTCATATACCACGTGATGCGAATGATAAACTTGAACTTGACACACCATTATGTGTAAACAGATTAAAATTTAAACATTTGATTGCATCTTTCCTCAGTTTCTATTCGTTAATTTACCTATGTTCTTAAATCCTGTCCGATTGTGCAGCGAGTGAATGGAGTGTAACCTTTAACCTCCGACGAGGAATGGCTGACGTTTCATTCCTGGGAGTACACTCAGATCTCACATTAGGTGTCAAGAAGATGCCCAGAGTTGAACTGATGAAGCTGCTGCCCCTGATTCCATGAACAGATGTGACAGCAGTGGCGGCAGCCGGACGTCATATTTTTCCTCACAACCATGAATCTTCTGCGTCCTTGTAAATAGCACTCCATGTTCCTGAGATCATTGTCCCCTATCAATGGCGCCCTTTACACTACAGATGAAAAAGCTAGGCAGGTGACAACAAGCATGACAAACTATCCATCCTGTAGTGCTTTAGCCGTTTCCACCACGTTTGGACAAATTACTAAAGTGTGGCGGTTATTGTCCAAGATGAAATTATGGCTGCCCCAAGCATCCTCTGTGATATATTGTAATGAAGGAACTGGACCAGTCCGGTCTAAAATGATAACACTGATTCAGGCTTATCCTATATCACATTTGTAGGCATCTAAAAATAGAAATAGTAAGGTTAGTAACGTTTGGATGAAAAGGTTTCAGAGAAGGAACACCACATTTGTAAAAGGCTTCAGCTTGAGTTGAAAATGAAACAAAATTTTATTGATTTTTTTCTTCCCCCAATAGAACAACAACCATAGACTCAGATCTTACACAATCCGAGATCAATTTTCAAGCGTCACGGGAGAGAACACAACCAAACAGAAAACAAAGGAATGACTCTTGATTGCAAGGCTTTCTCTGGGGCTCTCCCTCCTCCTCTCAACTTGTTTGTGCGACGGCGCTGCAGCTCATTTCTGAAGCACTGTCGTTTGTCTTTGTCAGACGCCCAAAAGGCTACAGAATGAAGAGGGACGTATGGCGAGGGACAGGGTTGACTGTGGTGACTACGTGTAACCCCACACACACACAAATTGTCACCACCGAATCTCAGCATCAGTCTGTGCCAGCAAACCCTCTCCATCACTCCTCTGTCTCCAAACCAATCATCTTTTCTAAGCCAGGTAAAGTCACGTGGAGGAAATCTTCCACACAGATTGCATTTAATTCAAACTGAACTGCAGTGAAGATGGGTAAAGGGGAGCAACGGTGCAACTATCAGGAATGTGCTTCAAGATAAATGAGCCCTTCAACTGCATTCGCTGCTGGTTCAGGCTGGGTGCGTGTATGGTTTTGGGCTGATAAGAACATTGGGGTGAACAGAAGAGAAGCTAGTGCCAAAAAGCAATGATGCTTATTCGTCATAAATGAAAACAAGCTGATTTTTTTTACATAATAAATTTCAAAGATTTCTCACAAACAGCATTTGATGAATGGCGTGTGCATATTTGCACGCTTTATTTCTTGC